TAGTAGTTTGACCTCCAATATCGTCTTCGGTCCGCTCTCGCTTGGTTGGGGAGGGGATAGTTAGCTGCCAACACATCCATGATGTATACCATATATCAAAAGAATGCAGTTCATTATATGCATGAGTATTCATAATTTAAACTTCGTAATTGTACTAGTGCTCGCTTTATTATCTGTAAATGTTACTCCGTCCGATCCATATTAATTATTGCTGATTTAGTGCAGAGTTATACTAAATCAGCAATAACTAATATGGATCGGAGGAAGTAGTGTAATCTAACTAAGCTATGTACCCATTCTAAAAATACCGCTCAGAACCTATCCAGTTCTAACAGTAAAAAACACAACTCACAACTACGAGCAATGGCGGGGCTTGAGATGAAATTATGGGGGGGCATGGGCTGAAGGGGGGGGGGGGCAAACATGATTGCTTTAGGCTGATTTTAGTTGAAAATTAGACCAAATATAAATGCATATGTGCATGTTTTTCTATGAGCTGGGGGGCCATGGCCCAGTTTGGCCCCCAAGTAGCTCCGCCACTGACTACGAGTGAACAGATAATTAAAAATTAATCATCAGCAAGGATAACTAGAGGATGCAAAAAGTGAAACAAAAAAACCATCACAGAATAATCATCGCCCACTATTGGATGAAAAAGGGAAATAGAAGAAAGTCATCATGGAACAATTCACGACTACAAGTGGAACAACAAAATCAAGGAAGTGAAAAAATGACCATGGATTGATTTGCAATTACTAACGTAATAAAAATTAATCATGGAACAATGAATGATTAGATCTCTTCTCTCTCCGTTTCTTTATTTTTTTGGTCTTTTTTCTGGCCGAACACCGTAATTAAATATCCAAAGACCCGTAACTCCGATTAGGCTAGAATTTTGAGGTTTTTTCATAAAATTAGCTTGCTTGTGATACGTTCATTTTGCATCATGCTTTTATATCGATATTTATTGCACTATGGGCTGTTATTACACATTATGTCACAATACTTATGCCTATTCTCTCTTATTTTACAAGGTTTACAAGAAGAGGGAGAATGCCGGCAGCTGGGATTCTGGGCTGGAAAATGAGCAAATATTAGAGATCTATTCTTCACAGCTCCAAAAGTCCTGAAACTTCACGGAAGTTATTTCCAGAATATATAAAAAATATTGAGCGAAGAAAGTTCCAGAGGGGCCACACCCTGGCACGAGGGTGGGGGGCGCGCCCCCTGCCTCGTGGGCCCCCTGGTGACCCTCCGATACCCATCTTCTGCTATATGAGGTCTTTCGTCGAGGAAAAAAATCATAAGCAAGCTTTGGAGAAGAAACTCCGCCGCCACGAGGCGGAACCTTGGCGAAACCAATCTAGGGCTCCGGCAGAGCTGTTCTGCCGGGGAAACTTCCCCCCGGAGGGGGAAATCATCACCATGGTCATCACCAACGATCGTCTCGTCGGGAGGGGGTCAATCTCCGTCAACATCTTCACCAGCACCATCTCATCTCAAACCCTAGTTCATCTCTTGTATCCAATCTTTGTATCCAAACCTCAAATTGGTACCTGTGGGTTGCTAGTAGTGTTGATTACTCCTTGTAGTTGATGCTAGTTGGTTTACTTGGTGGAAGATCATATGTTCAGATCCATTATGCATATTAATACCCCTATGATTATGAACTTGAATATGCTTTGTGAGTAGTTACGTTTGTTCCTGAGGACATGGGAGAAGTATTGCTATTAGTAGTCATGTGAATTTGGTATTCGTTCGATATTTTGATGAGAAGTATGTTGTCATCCCTCTAGTGGTGTCATGTGAACGTCGACTACATGACACTTCACCATTGTTTGGGCCAAGAGGGAGGCATTGGGAAGTAATAAGTAGATGATGGGTTGCTAGAGTGATAGAAGATTGAACCCTAGTTTATGCGTTGCTTCGTAAGGGGCTGATTTGGATCCATATGTTTCATGTTGTGGTTAGGTTTACCTTAATACTTCTGTTGTAGTTGCCGATGTTTGCAATAGGGGTTAATCATAAGTGGGATGCTTGTCCAAGTAAGGACAGCACCCAAGCACCGGTCCACCCACATATCAAATTATCAAAGTACCGAACGCGAATCATATGAATGTTATGAAAACTAGCTTGATGATAATTCCCATGTGTCCTCGGGAGCTCTTTCCTTCATATAAGAGTTTGTCCAGGCTTGTCCTTTGCTACAAAAAGGATTGGGCCATCTTGCTGCACCTTATTTACTTTTATTACTTGCTACTCGTTACAAATTACCTTATCACAAAACTATCTGTTACCGATAATTTCAGTGCTTGCAGAGAATACCTTACTGAAAACTGCTTATTATCATTTCCTTCTGCTCCTCGTTGGGTTCGACACTCTTACTTATCGAAAAGCTATGATAGATCCCCTATACTTGTGGGTCATCAGCTTGCGACGAAAGAAGAGCTCCAACCGACTTAAGGAGCAGCCACACGGGCCCATGGCGCGCCCAGGGGGTGAGCACCCCCTGGCCGTGTGGGGCCCTTGGGCACCATCTCGTGTTGATTCCTTTACCCAAAAATCACATATATTTTAGAAAAAATCATATTAAATTGTTGGGGTTATTTTGACCTATAAAAACCAAAAACATGTAGAAAACAACAACTAGCATAGGTAGGTCAATAGGTTAGTCCAAGAAATAACATAAAGTGCACCAAAATCATATATAATAGATGTTAATATAGCATGAATACTTCAAAAATTTATAGATTTTTTAGGGGGAAAGCCAAGTTCTATTCATCACAAACCACAAATCGGGCCGGGCTTCGGGCCAGGTCAAAAAAAAGCCCGATGCTAAAAACCCAGGCTCGAGCCCAGCCCGACCCAGCCATCGGGCCTACAAATCGGCCCGAGCCTGAGAATGCCTGACACGGCCCGGTCGGCCCGGCCCAACTACGGCTTAAAACACGTTTTGTGCAGGCCTGAGCCCGGACCGACCTGCCCGTCGGGCTCAGTTTCCAGGCCCGAGCTCGGCCCGATGGCACACTTGGTCTTAGCCCGGCCCGGGATTTTCGGGTCGGGCTGCCCATGGCCAGGTCATGGGATTGGCCAAACCAGACATGGCGTCCCTGACCCAGCGAATACGTATCAGTTCTTGACCATGTCCGCTAGTAATTTGAGCCCGCCTATAATCCTTTTCCCGGTAGTGAGTGCTTGCAGTCCTCACTAGGTGGTCTACGGATGTGGGTGTAGTTTTTGTGTTGTTCCTGTGTTCTTTGTACTACCATGGCATGGTGGATAGATCAAAAATTTCCTGAAAAAACGTAAGAATTTTTTTGGAGAATGTTTTTTCTAGGGAAGTTTTTTAAGGTTTTTTGGGGGAAGTTTATAAACAAGAAAAGTTCACTGGAGCGGAATGAAACATGTGTAGTACTCATCCCAAAGGTCAATAACCCGGAAAGAATGAAGGATCTCAGACCCATCAGTTTGTGCAACGTGGTATAGAAGCTAGTGTCAAAAGTGTTGGCAAATCGATTGAAAATGATTTTGCCCGAGATTATAGCCCCGAACCAAAGTGCTTTCGTTCCGGGTCGGTTGATTACAGATAATATTTTGCTAGCTTATGAGGCGACACACTTTATGCAGAATAGGAGGTATGGTGGGGTGGGATATGTGGCGTTGAAGTTGGATATGAGTAAGGCTTATGACAGGGTCAAGTGGGATTTTTTGGAGGCTATGATGTCAAAGATGGGGTTTTCTGAGGAATGGGTTAATTTAATAATGAAATGTTGTCGTACGGTGAAGTACAAATTTAGGGTTAATGACATGCTCACGGAGGAAATCACGCTAGGTAAGGGTCTTCGATGGGGTGATCCTATCTCCCCTATTTGTTTCTGTTTTGCGCCGAGGCTTTCTCATGTCTACTGAATAGTGCTGAGATGAATGGTCAGCTAGAAGGGGTAAAGATTTTTCAAAATGCGGCGAGCTTTAATCATCTACTGTTTGCAGATGACTATTGATTCTTCTGAAGGTCTCAGAGGAAAGTACACTTCATTTGCAACATATTCTAAATTTGTATGAGGATTGTTCGGGGCAGACAATCAATACGGACAAGACGTCAATCATGTTCAGCAAGAACACGAAAGAAAGAGATAGGAGAGGTATGATGAACAACATGGGGCTGCAAAAGGAGACTTGGAATGAAAAATATTTGGGCCTGCCGGTGTTTGTGGGTCACTCCAAGAACAAAGTGTTTGCTTATATTAAGGACCGCGTGTGGAAACGGATCCAAGGATGGATGGAGAAAATGTTGAGCAAGGCTGGGAAAGAGATACTGATTAAAGCATGTGCACAAGCTATTCCGACATACGCGATGTCAGTTTTTGATTTTACTAAGGGGCTATGTGAACAGATGACAGCCATGATTTGTAGGTACTTCTGGGCGCAGCAGGACCATGATAAGAAAATTCATTGGCTGTCAGCAGAGAGACTTACTTTACCGAAGAAAGATGGAGGTTTGGGCTATAAAGATCTGCATATTTTTAATATGGCAATGTTGGCAAAGCAGGGATGGTGGCTGCTCCAAAACCCGAATAGTTTGTGCGGGCGAGTTCTGAAGGCAAGGTACTTTTCAGATACTCTAGCGATGCATGGGTCGAAGATGGTGCATGTGTCCCAAGCTGTATGGCCGGGCGCTGCTCCTAACTTTATCCGAGACTTGATTGCCGGGCACAGTGGTTAATTGAAATGAAATTTCATTTTTTTTTTATTTTTTTGAGGGAAGAAATGAAATTTCATAGTTGAAAAAGAAAGAAAAGTACAAATGTCCTAAAGTTATGGGCCAACGGCCTGTACCCTTGCTTGTGAACGGCGCACATACTAGTTAGGCCCAACGCAACCCTCCTGAAGTCCTCCTCTTTCGCAGCCCGGCCTTCTCACCACGAGCACGACGCCGGCGACGAGGACCGCCGCCGCCGCCGAACCCTGCCCAAAGCGAGGCAGCCGACGAGCCGGCGGAGATGCTGCTGGAGGAGCTGCTCCGCTGCCAGATCCAGGAGTGGTACCCGGCGTTCCGGCGCCACACGGTCCCCACCGCCATCATCCCGCTCCCGGCTGCCTTCCTCCGCTACCTCGCCGGCCGGACCGCCTACCCCGACCCCGACGAGGGCGATCAGGGGCCGCTCCCCTTCGTCCTCCCGACGCTCACCTCCGGCCGCGCGCCCTTCCCGCCGCTCCAGGGCCACTTCCCGGACCCCGTCTCCCTCCTCGACCGCGACAACACCGACCCCCTCTTCGGCGACTCCGACTCCGACGACGAGGGCGAGGGCCTGCTCCCGCCCGCGTTCCCGGAGCTCGAGGCCGCGGTGGACGCCGCCATCGCCGACCTCGGCGGGGCCGCGCTCCCCAAGCTCAACTGGAGCGCGCCCAAGGACGCCGTCTTCATGGCCGCCGACGGCACCGTCCGCTGCACCTGCTTCGCCGAGGTCGCCATGCTGCTCCGCGCCTCCGACTGCGTCGCCCACGACCTCGTCTCCGCGCGCCCCTCCTGCCAGGACTTCGTGCGCGCCAACCGTGTTCGACGGAATGCCGCAGAGGGTAGTCTGAGTGACCCTGGTGAGAACTGCAGCGAGGTAGGTGCCCGCGGCGGTGGGAGTGATGCGCCGGAAGAGGATGCTGAGCAAGAAAGCAGTGATGATGCCCGCGGCGGTGGGAGTGATGCGCCGGAAGAGGATGCTGAGCAAGAAAGCAGTGATGATGATGAGACTTGGGTGGACGACGGGTTCCAGTACTACCTCGCGCTCCGCAAGTGGTACCCAGGCCTCCGCCCCGAGTCGGAGTTCCGCTGCTTTGTGCGGGGGCGGAAGCTGGTCGGTGTGTCGCAGAGGGACCCGTCTGCCTACTACCCTTCTCTGCCTGGGTGGAGCGCTGAGGTACAGCCCAAGATCGAGGATTTCTTCGAAGAATTCATCGAGCCACAGTTTGCTTCAGAGAATTACACGTTTGATGTGTATGTGAGAGCCGATGGTCGGGTGAAGCTGATCGACTTCAATCCTTGGGGCGGCTATACCCTGCCGCTGCTGTTCACATGGGAGGAGCTTGAGGAGGAGCAGAGAGCAGAGGACGAGCTGGAGTTTCGAGTGGTGATGCAGCAGGGTGCGGTGAGGCCAGGGTTAATGACAGCAATTCCGTATGATATGCTGGATTGGGGGGATGGCAGTGGCTGGGATGTGTTTCTGAAGAAGGCTGGCAATGAGCTCGACAGACAGATGGCATCATTAGGTGTGGATTCGTAGTTACGGCCTACAGCAAGGTGCTCGAGTGCTCCAGTAGGTGAACAAGTGAAGTGGTGGCTCTTGGTAATGTTTCATCTGTCGAACACTTAGAAGTAACAGTTTTCTTCAGATTGTGATGCAACCTCATGGTACTTGTTTTTCTGTTTCCCGGGACTTTGTAATGCTAAGTTGCTAGTATGGGATTACCTCTTGTTGCTTCATTTCAGTTATATCTTCAGATATTTACAGAAACGTATTTGTAGTGGAGTTTGTGGCCCATGGCTGAAATTGCAGCAGATCTCTTATATCTCTTAAACATGAATACACCCCCTATATTTCTTTGCTGCTTCATATGTACCTGCTTGTATCTATCTATTTATTTTGGCATTTCAACTGAGAATTGAGGCAATGATATATAGGATGATTTTTTGGTCAAAAAGGTCTTAACTTTGAACTCTCCCCCGGTTCTCATTTCAACTTTGAACTCTGCAACGGTCCGGTTTAGGATCCTGTACTCTTAATGTCGTTTGACTGAATTTAACCCTGGTATTCGCCACGAGGCGGACGCGTCACCCAGTTCGGGGCCTACTTGGCATTCATTCTTTCTCCCCAAACATTGCCACAAATCCAGTTGTTGATGGCACTCCTGTGAGTGAGTATGGGACCAAAGAGATATTTATGTGAGTTCCTTGATACCCCAGCCAAAAGGGATATATTGAATAATAGCCAGGTTATAGCCCGAGGCCCTGACATATATAGTCTAATACTCCCTCCGTCCCAAAATTCTTGTCTTAGATTTGTCTAAATACAGATGTATCAACTCATGTTTTAGTATTAGATACATTCGTATTTAGACAAATTTAAGACAAGAATTTTGGGACGGAGGGAGTACATTATTATGCGGTAGATGACCAACTTTATTCTCATCAACTTGAAATCGTCTAGGTGTTCAATACTTCAACTGTTCCAAGGGAAGTGCCTGATTCTTGGAAGATCTGTCCCTAGCAAAGACAATGTTTTACTCTTTGTACTGTTATAAACTTCTTTGATTCCTGAAACAAGTGACTGTACTAGACAGTTAAAGATCTAGTAATTTAGTTGGCTGTATACTTGCTTGTGCTATACAATTTCTGTGAGCTACTAAGCTTATCCTGTAAGGTGCTCAACTGCCTTATAGCTTATAGATAAGTCTGAAGCTATTTTGGGCAACCAAACTAACAAGTCATGAGCTGCTCCCTAATTGTGGCCCATTTGCATGCTTTGAATCTATTATGGCAGGGCTGTTCTGTTTAACGTTAAGCCCGAATAAGCTGGCTGTTTGGTTCAAAGTCCTAACTTAACTGGTTAAGGTTACTTAAATAATAGGCCAAAGCTTAAATTCGGCCATATTTGCTTTGACTATGTTATGGCAGGGATGATGTCTATTTAACGTTAAGCCCAGATAAGCTAGCTGTTTGGTTCGAAGTCCTAACTTAACTTGTTATGCTTATTTAACTAATAAGGCCAAAGCTTAAATTGGGCCAAACAGGTCCCATTATAATCTAGTGCCAGTAGGCATGTCATGTACGCAACACAAAGCTTACTAGTATCATGTAGTCTTTGTTTTTGAAATTTCTGACGATGCCATGTTATATAAATTTTCTCCTTGAAGTGAATTATGATGATTGTTTTGGTATGGTTATTGCTTAACGAGGGTGCAATATACTTCTGTGTGCCAATTTTAACTGAAGGGTGAAAGAAGCGTTACTAGAAATGCTATCTTGGAGCTGAGGGTGCAGTGTCTCAGCAATGGCTGAAATCCTGATTCACTTGGTATCAATGACTTGCATGATGCACTGAATTTCTGTCCCATAACTGAAGAATTTCAGAGCTCGTTTGTAGAGTTAACGCTGACAAGGTAGAGTTAACGCTGCCTAGCGATTATTCACGAGCATATTACTACTGAATCCAAGTCTTGAACAGGTTATGTTTTGCAGTGCATGCTTGGACCTGAACCACAGGGGTACCTACATAAAAGTAACTGCGAAGCAACACGTACTTGGAGACGCGTTTTGATGGCTCCACGAGGTAAAGACTCTTGTCTATATAAATAACCTCAGTTGCATTGCATATCCTACTGTCAGTAGTATATATAGCCTGGACACCATTGGAATGCTGGCGTTACTCATCAGTAAGTAGCGAGTATTGACTATAGCTGCTTAGGGACAAGATGGTGGGTGGGTACGCGTGCCGCGGTCGGCAAAGGGGCAGCTAGCTAGCCTTGGTATCATAACCTGTAGCTGTACAGCCATTACAGAATTCAGATAGGAAAGAAAACCATTAGTGAATTCAGATAAGAAAGAAAGGACGGGATAATTCAGATAAGAAACACTAGAATATCGATCTGCAGATGCCTGGCTGCTCGAAGGATCAGCCCTACTTGTTTACTCGAACCCTAGCATGCATCTGCCTGATCGACGGGGAATAGTATAGGCGTGCAGCAGTACTTGTTTACTCGAACCCTAGCATGTATGTATAATTGTAGACGTCCTTGTCTAGTCAACTAGTCACGGAGATGGCTTATTATAGTACACTGTACGTCGTTTCCAATATGTATTCCTACAGCGAGGTGCACGGGGCTGAGCTCCGTCGGGTTGGGTTGGTAGGGAAAGACGATGTGGGTGCGTCGCACGTCCAGGGTTTATCAGTTTACTCGGGGGGGAGGGCTTTGTTTATGCTCCTGCAATAAGTGTGACACTTGCAGTGCCGAGCTCTGCTAGCTAGGCCATGTGAAGCTTTGAAAGGCCACACTGCTCTCATTAATTAGGGGGAATTTACCGGGTCGATCGTGAGCGCACGTCGAAGCTGGAGGCAGATCCTGATCCGCGTGAGATGTCCATGGGGTGTTTATCCTACGCATCGCCCGGCACAAGATATTCTTTTAAGGTACTTCCTCCGTAAACTAATATAAGAGCGTTTAGAATACTAAAATAGTGATCTAAACGCTCTTATATTAGTTTACAGAGGGAGTACGTGTGAATAACAAACGATTTCCCATGTGCGTAGGATATGCATGCATGGATGGATGCTTCCGCTCAGTTTACTGCATGTCTGCATTTGGTCCAGTAGTTTTGAGCCACGTTTGTTAATGAAGGTGAAGTTCGTGTCCATACAAGAAATATATATTACAGTGAACACAAGAAACTATAATTTGCTTCCAGTGGAAGTAGTAGGAGATAGTTTCTTGTTTTGGATGTAACCATTATTGGTGCTCTGCTAGCAGGTACCTAAACCGGACCAATATTTTGTAACCTAAATATATAGAAGAAATATGTACTCTCGTACGGCGTACGGTTGATCAATATACCAGGGAAATAATTGAAGGTACCCTAGAAGAACCTACACATATTTTTGCTTGGCTACCTTACACATGGGCTAGCTAGCTACAGCTTAGCTAGCCATGGCAATGGAGGTTGAGAGGCTGCATTTATGGGAGCATGACATCCCAGCTAATTATTTGCATTGCAGTTCCCCAGCAAGCTGGCTTGTTTCATGCATGCTAACCTTCAATTGAATACAAGCTTGTCACAACGTCATCACCACCTTGTTTAACTAATGTAAACAGCATCAACTTGGCCTTGAATGCCACGTGAAGAGAGAGCCCGGATGTGGAGGAGTGTAGATTATGTGGCACTGGAACATGGGGGGAGGGGCTAGGGTTAGCTCCACTTCTACTACTACTACTTAATCACCTTACTTAGCTGAGCATAACAAGGGAATTAATCATGGGTCCACTGCTGTCTGTCTCCCTCTTTGCACTTGACCCCTATATTCCACTGACAGCTCAAGACCTTGCTGGCTCATTAAGCTCCACACTAGCGCCTACTCGATTAAGAAACCGCTCACTCTATATAAGTAGCCGCATGCTTGCACGTCTCATGCATTCACAGAGCTTAGCTAGCTAGCTGCCAAGAGCTGCCCTGAACCCTAGCTAGTAGTAGCTTCCCGGAACACCGTCACCAGTAGCTCGATCTCACCTAGGTAGGGAACAGTGACACAGAGCAGCAAGCTGCCTAGCTAGCCAATGGCGTGCAAGCGGGCCACCACGCGGGAGCTCCGGGCGATGTACGATGACGAGCCCTCCTCCATGTCCCTCGAGCTCTTCGGCTACCACGGCGTGGTCGTCGACGGTGATGATGAGGAGGGCGACACCGCCACCGCCCTCCCCCAGCTCTCCTTCGTCGATAACTTCAAAGGCGGGTGCGGGTCAGCAGCGGCGGACTACTACAGCTGGGCGTACAACGCCTCCGGTGGGACGCCCGGCGCCTCCTCCAGCTCCACCTCTTCGGTGCTCAGCTTTGAGCATGCCGGCGGTGCCGGTCATCAGCTGGCTTGTAATTCCAGCACAGGTGACGATGACTGTGCGCTCTGGATGGACACCATGGCCGATCAGCATGGCGCTGCCAAGTTTGGGTTCATGAACCCAGGGTCGGCCGATGTCGTCCCAGAAATCCAGGAGAGCAGCATCAAGCAGCCGGCCAAGTCTGCGCAGAAGCGCTCGAGCTCGGTAACTACCTACATCAGATTAATTTTTTTCTATGCATTCATGAGAATATGTTGTTACCTACACAAACTTTGCATCAAATCTATTTAAGTGAATAATCTGATCTGTGTTTATCTGTGAAGGGTGGTGAGGCGCAAGCGGCGGTGAAGAAGCAGTGTGGAGGAGGCAGGAAGAGCAAGGCCAAAGTTGTGCCTACAAAGGACCCTCAGAGCGCCGTTGCAAAGGTACATATACAGGCAGCATGGATCAATTTCTCCCTATTGTTGTGGTGGCAAGATTCTTTGCACTGCAAGAAAATTGCTTCGACGAAGCCGAACTAATCCAAGTTACTCGATCGATCATGGATCTTTAGGTCCGAAGAGAGCGCATCAGCGAGAGGCTCAAAGTTCTGCAGGATCTGGTCCCCAATGGCACAAAGGTGCGTACCATGATTTCTTCTCATGCCTCAGCACAGTTTTTGTGTGAAAAAATGACCTGGTCATGGTCATTAGTTGCTAATTTTCTGAATGAAACCAACTCGCGTAGGTGGACATGGTCACCATGCTCGAGAAGGCAATCACCTATGTCAAGTTCCTGCAGCTGCAAGTCAAGGTATGCGGCAATCGGTTATCAATGCGTCGACTACTCTTTCGACCCAATTCACTTCTATGAACTACATGCAGTCTCATGTCTGATGTATGAATTATAACCCGGTTCGTGCATATTCGGTGTGTTTGCGCAGGTGCTGGCGACCGACGAGTTCTGGCCGGTGCAAGGGGGGAAGGCGCCGGAGCTCTCCCAAGTGAAGACCGCCCTGGACGCCATCCTGTCTTCTCAGCAGCAACCCTAGGCCATGGATGCATGCATCCATGTTGAATTTTTTACCCAAGTTTTAGATGATCGCGGCACGTGTAAGATCAGAACAGAAAAGAGAGCACAAGCTCTGTAAAAATACATGGCAGATCATGTTTTTTGTTTCACTCCTTTTAGATCAATTCTCCTTGTTTTTTATGTGATCGGGATTTGAAGTTCCGATCACTGTAACTAGTCCAATAAAACTTAGAGGAACATGATGTTACACAGCTTAGTGAAACCTAGACAGGGTCCCGCCATCGCGTGCAACGAAAATAAAGTTGTTTCTATTGAAACATAAAACCCTCTTCTTCTTTTGCAGGGAACATAAGATCCTCTCCTTGATTTACAAGAACAACGCACGATCGGATTCATTGAAATGTTGTTATCTTGAGTTCTTCGAACTAGAAAACTGAGCTATGGGGATTTAGATCAAAGGGTATTTGACACCACATGAAAAACAAAGGAACTGTACAAAGTGGTTTGAATGCAAACCAATCCTCAGGAAAGAAAAAGAATCCCTAAGGATTCATTCACATTCTCTAAAAAAATCCCTTTGAAATTCCAAGGATCCAAACTAAACCTCAGGGGTTTGGATCCAAGTTCCTTTCAATCAAAGGAACCCTAAATCCTGAAATGGCAACAGGGAGCCTTCCTGAGATGAACGTAGTTTTTTTTTTTTTGAGGGATCCCCACACTTTATTAATTTGAACCAAAGATCAAAGGGATACAAAGTTTTTACAAGTTAGATGAAAGTAGTTAAAATCAATTTCGCGTCAATTGGGCGGCGGGCCTGAGTAGCATCCATCCATCCATGAATCGTGCAAACCTTATTATTTCACGGGGTCTAGATCTGAGATTGACAAATGAGCATTTGTCAGGGATCTTAATTAACTTTTTCGCAAACAAAAAGGGATCTTGGTTAACAAAGTAAATCGCCACAGAATTTGTATAGAGATTTTCTGCTACCAACATTTTCGCAAACATCGGAGATCGTGCGGCTACTTGTGTTTTCTTCTCTCCAGGTCAAACAGTTTTGTAATGCAACTGGAATTAATTGCAGTTAGTGCGTGATTAGAGGAGGCTCAAGACAACTCCTTAGGATGCGGCTGCTGATGATGCCATCATGTCTCACTAGAGTGGAGACAATTCCTCAACAACTAAAAGACATTGTTGCTGAGTAAAAAAATGTTGATCTAATTGCACCATCGTTTGCGACAAGCTGTAGTTTCTCGTGGTCTATGGTCACTGTTGAATCCGCGCAAGAATTTACCGTAAGAGTTAAATTTCACTTTTTACCCCTTTATTTGTCTGGAAGTGTCAAAAGTTACCCGGCTAAAAATTGTGTTTCTAATTTTACCCATAGTCATGCATTATTTCCACATGTTTCCCCCATCCCAACAGCCTCATGTGGAAATTCTCTTAATTCTACTGAGTGATTATAGTGTTGCTTTTTGATTCCTTAAATGTTCTTGAATCCCGAATTCGCAATTTCATTTCATTTATCATATATTTTAAAATTGTCTTCCACTTAATTTAGTTACCGATACGAAGTTAATTAATTAATCATGGAAAAATTACATACTTTAGATTATAATTAATACAGTCTTTTGGAACAAGTGCCCCTCAAGGTGGTGTTAAATGAGCAATATGTGATTTTAAGAAAGTAATAACTAATTTCCAGTGTCGATAAAGTGGTCTCGAGATGTCAGGATGGGGAAGGTTGGTAAAATGGTACAATATCTGGAATAATTCACAACTAGAGAGGTAAAAAGAGGAAGAAAAACTCAAAAAGGGGTCATCTTTATTGTAGCAGTTAGTTGCAAATAGGAGTTGAGAAGTGGCATTTTACTCAAAATAACAAGGTAGAGAAAAAAATTCCCATTCATGCCGGAATCGAGTTGTTTTCTGTGCATTTGTTGCGTTCCAAATGACCCGACGACAGCATTTTTCTTAGAAGCTGGTCAGAAATAACTGAAATGCTCGATGTAGAAAGTTAAGAACTAAATGAAGGAAGCATCCAATAGCAGTATGAAAATACGTACAACTTTCCGAAAAAGACAAAGCAAGAAAATTGTCACTTTCTAAACTACTGAAACTCGCGCTTGAGAATGGTAAACTGAAACTTGCAGTTAATTATCACTTTCTAAAGTTTGTGTAAGAATTTGAGGAAAATTATGATCATTTGATGTAGAAAAAATGATGATATTCATCCTGTATACCACATAAATCTGAGATAATTAGAATGCTGGATGAAGAAACTTGAGAGCTAGATGGGAAAAAACAAGGGTGCATTAGGTGCTCTAAAATGCTTCTTCTGAATAAAAGAAAGAGATTGTAGCTGACGATCGCACCTATTAATGCTAATAAGTGCACGACAACACATCATCAGATGCTTGACATGTGGAACCGACTGTCATTTACGTCATCCATCACGAGATAACCGATCCGATTATGATAAACAATGTCGTTGAAATGCTGCTAATCCCTAATCAGTGCGGTATAATGATGGCCAGGAAGGCAGGAAATGATACAGGGAGATGCTGCGTCATGCAACTGGTCGGTGCCTTGAATGCAGAAAAGAAAAACAGTGATCATGTCATGTGGTCCTAAGATCCAGAGATTTCTAGGTTCCAATCGTGCAAAACCAAGGTCAGATCACGGTTTCGGCCATGTGAAAACTCCATTACTCTAGTTGTTGACAACGGGTGCAATATGCAATATAATGCACAAGCCAAACAAATCAGAATGAAGATCCAAGCATGGTTGCCATGAAGCAAAGTCAACACTGTCCCATGATTTTAGCTTCACAAGATGTTTTGTTTCCCTAGGAAAATATGAATCGATTGATGTTTCATGCATCATATCTCAACAATTAGGGACATTACAAGAAATATTTTACCAGCAGTTTCCCACACATTTTCCCTCACAAAAAATACTTTACCAGCAGTTTCCCACGCATTTTCACTCACAAAATATTTACTGGCAGTATTGTGCTTCGGAGGTTCTAAAACATACTCCCTCCGTTCGGAAACACTTGTCCTAGAAATGGTTGTATCCAGACTTGTTTTAGTTATAGATACATCCATTTTATCCATTTCTAAGACAAGTTTTTCCGAACGGAGGGAGTAGGTGTCATGTGTGTGTTTCTGTGGGCATGGCAGTCTGTCCTGTGTGAGGTCACATTCCAGCAGAATAAAATCTAAAGATTCTTGCACACCATCTAGTACTTTATGCATTATTCTCATTTCCCAGTCCATTCCCATGTGACTTTCGAGCATAAATCTTAAAAATTTAAAACCATCAATACCGAGAATTCATGGCACCCTATGTCATAAACAATTTGATTGAACCGATGCCAAGGAGACGTGAGGAGCATTACGGCATTACCTTCCTCGCAAACTTCAAGTTGCTTTCTCTCCTCTGCAACAACAAAATAATCAATAAAATCACATGAATTTAATGCACATAACTTGCCCATTATTTCTTTTCTTCTCTTGTTTTCTTCAGAATCAGATGCCCATCTTCCTTTGCAGCACACTAGAGTGGAAACCAATGAATGCCATTGATGTAATTTTGGACTAAACTCTAGCACTTTTGCCATCCTCTGTAGTAATGGCAAAGTAATAATACTGAGATAACAAAAAACTGAAGCGAACTGCCTAGAGAATTACACCATTATAGAGTCAAGCGCAGAAAAGGGACTCCTCTGATCACATGAAGGGACATGTATCTTCCTTATGGTATTAAGCATTTAAGCCATCTTCACAGGAAACAAACCTGAATTGCATTGTTGCTCCTGATTACCATGACTTCCAAGGTTCTTACATGTCATGATTCTGAAAACACAGGCTGCTCACCATAATTCTGACTATGAGATTTTGTGCAGAGACTACAACAAACCAGCATTTGCAGCTTAGATGAACTATTTACATGATGAGAACCTATGGTACATGAAACAGATGCCGCCGAACTAATCTAGGATCCAGAATTTCTGACCATTTATTCCTCAAGAAGACTCTGGACCATTCACAGCATCAGGAGCAGTAGCAGACTCGATTAGCCTCTCGAAATCAACAATGGTCGACTGAAAATTGAACTGATACCCGCTTTGCATCCATGATTTTATACACATTGTAGCCTGCATGCTACTAAGAGGAAGGCAGTACTGCTGCTTGTGGATACTGTCCCCTTTGCTTGTGAAAAGTTCTTCAGGATCCAACGATGTCCCTTGGATTGCCAAAAAGTCACGGGCCATCAACGAGAGCCGTGGGTAACGGGAGGAGTGCCCCCTCCACCATTCAAGAGCATCAGTGGAAATCGGTGCGGGGGGCTCCGCAAGATACTGAGTGAGCTCATCAGCGGCAGTGCTCATGCTGACACGACGGCGCTTACGGATAATCTCTTCGGCAAAGGAGAACGCACCACCATCCTCGGTGTTGTCTTGTTGGGTGTTGTAGCCATTTCCGGGAGCTTGGAAGATGCTGCTGTAGTCTCTGACGAAATGGTCCCTTGCGTCCTCCAAGTTGCTGGCGGAGTTGAGGGCTTCAGGGATGAGCTCCCCTTTGATCCTTGGATCAAGAATTGCGGCCGTGAAGGTGTAGATGTTGTAAGCTTGAGATGTGAAGTCACGAGCCGTCTTGGACATGTCTCTGGCGATTTTCTCAAACAATTTCTGGTGGCTGCTATCACGGCAGGCATTGATCAAATCAAAGACATGGTCCATGAAGAAGAAGACCAGCCCAACAGTTGGTAATTTGCAAGTACAAAGGTTGGTCGTAGTTTTATAGAATGGCTCAAGGTACGGGTGCAATGAATTCAACACTGACTTCTCCTCGTCACTCAGAACCCAGTCCCTCGGACCAAAACTGTCTTGAAACTTCTTGATGGCGTTATCCATCGCATTAGGGGCCTGAAGAAAAAACATTAAAAAACGTGAACAAAAGAAGTAACAACCGTGATGGAAAATAAGATGCAGGCATGGACTGTGCAGTACCTTATTTACTATGTCGAGCACATTGTAACTGCCGTTCCAATTTGCTGAATGATCAAGAGGGAATTTACATGGGCCTTCCTGGTAAACTTCAGTCCAGTGCTTAAAATCCACCATCATCTCCTGGTTCGAATTGGTCTCGAGGATAAACTCGCGGGCCTTGGACAGCACAGGCTTCACATTTTGCAGGCCATCTTCTATGATAACCTCTAGTGCCTTTGCGGCACAGGGGATGTAGCAGAAGGGGAGCTTACGGGACTCGAGCTCCCGCCTGAGCTCTTCACAGGCATGGATGGCATGCTGGCTGTTATTATGCGTGCAAGCAAGGATTTTCAAGTCAATGTTAAAATCCTGCAAGACAGCCAACAGAACTCGCAGAATGTCAGCACCGGTGGAGTGGCACCGAACCCGGCACACGTCAAGCAGGAGTTTCTGCGAGACCCAGCTCTCGTCGATCCAGTGGCACTTGACAGACAGGTACGCTATCTGCTCATAGGAAGTCCAGAAGTCAAGGGAGATGGACAGCCGTGACCTGACGCGCTGCAGGGACGCCTTGACATCCTCCTTCATGCTCTTGAACACCTGCAGGGTGATCTCCTGAGCCTTCTCCTTCGGCCAGAGCCTGACGGCCGGGTTCAGATACCTGCAGCTGTCGACAAACGAGCTGTCCTCGAGGGTGGAGGGAGGGAAGGAGGAGCCGATGAGCCACCGAAGGAGCAACCAGTTGACGTAGTCGACGTCGACCGCCGGCTTCGCGCTGGGCTGAGCGCGGACGGCCCGCGCTTTCGCCTGAGCCTGAACAGACTGAACCTGAACCTGTGCTTGCGGCTGAGGCTGAGGTTGCGGGTGAGCTCGCACCGGGGCCTGCGGCTTCTTGCTCCTGGCAAACATGCCGGAGATGGCACTCTGGGCAGGATTTTCGCCCTGCAGATGCAGGTGGTGATCGGCGAGCTGGTCGTAGCCCGGGTGCCGGTTGTTCAGGTGCTTCCCCAGATTGCCTGCATCACAATTGGAACCGTTGTGAAAGGGATGTTAGTTAGTATTTCCTCCCTCCGGTGATCCGGTCACAAATATAAGATGTTTTGGATATTTGAATATGGACTACATACGCACTGAAATGAGTTAACAAACACGCTGAAACGTGTCTACATAGTACATACATCCGATTCAGAAAAGAAGTTTATACTCCCTCCGCCCCTAATTACTTGTCTTAGATTTGTATACAATGTTTTAGTGTGGGATACATCCGTATCTAGACAAGTAATTTGGGAAGTAAGTAATATGGAGGAAATGTGTTCTAAAGTAATTTGGGCATGTAATCAATGCGCAGACTGACGGTGTTCTTGCTGCGTTCTGAAGATTTCATTCAGTAAAAAAAAAGATTGGGTTTGGGTCATCGGGTGTGCGCTTGCGGCTTGCTTACCGGTGGCGGTGGTGAGGCAGTAGGACTTGCCGCAGAGGCGGCAGGCGCGGGAGCGGCCGTCGGCGGCGGTGTCGAAGAAGGCGAGGTAGAGCGACTTCATGGTCTTCTTCTTCCTGGGCCTGGCGGCCTCCGCGCCGTCGCCGGCGGCCGGCAGGAGGGTCATGTCAGCCATCCCGGTCACGGTCGGTCGACGGAGCGCGGCAAGATTGGAGCCGGCGGCGGCGGGCGGGGCGGGGAGCCGAGGCGCCGAGGACGGTAGGGGGCGGCCGGGGCCGGGGCTGGAGCCGAGGAGGACGGCGCGGCGCGGCGCCGATCTGGGCGGGTGGGGAGCTAGGGTTTGGTTTGGGCTCGGGCTCAGGCTCGAGCTCGGTGGTCGGGGTCTGGGTCGGAACCAAGGGGCGGCTCGAACGCCAGCCGGCTCCCTCAGCAGCTGGCGCGTGCGTGCGAGCTGACTGTCGCCAATCTTTTTTCTATATCTCTTTTCTATTTTTAACACAAGACAAAAAAACCATGTCATTTTCGTCGGTCAATTAAAAGGAATGGAGGAGCTTCAACTGCTGTAAACCCTAGCACATTACCTCGCAGAATATGACAGCAACACAACTCGTCACCGTGCACCGGCCAACGTGGCTACCTCGCACCAACACGCATCAACTACAGCTTCGATTTCGATGCCAAGGTTCGCAAGGGGGGAGACGCGGGGCTCACGCCGACCGAGCCCTCCGCAAACGGCCATCGAGCACTGCCTGGACTTACTTCACCGTAGCTTCGACTCCACGACAACGACAAAGAGAGCCAACAATTAATGGAAGGGCATGTTGGATGCCCGGATAGCCGATTGCTGAAGCCCAAGTTGCGGCCTAAACTCATCTCAAAGGCATCGTAGCTGCCAAATAGGTCTCGGCGGCGTCTGACATATCCCTCCAAGGCCAGAGGGGGGGGAGACAATTCCATGTGATGCTTTTGAGAAAACTCCAAACACCAAGTTGCTTTTGCTCCGTCCCTTCTCGTGGCATGTACGAAATTTTGCTTCTTTATTCTTTGAAAAGCCAACTTGAGAGGCGGGTTCTGGAAAACCCATAAACTTGAGAAAGTTTTTTAGGGGAAAGTTTTCATTTCGGATCGAATTTGTTCATTTTGCAATACAATGTTGTTTATTACAAGCTAAATAAACGGATGCTGAATTCAGCAGCGTGCATGTATCACTACGCCAATGAATTAATGCGTAGACTAGACGGTGTTCTTGATGTGTAACCTTAAGTAAAAAGGATTGGGGGGTGGGTGGGTGCTCTGCTTACTGGTGGCGGTGGTGAGGCAATATGTCTTGTTGCAGAGCCTACAGGCACGGTTCTTGCCGTCGGCGGCGGCCTCGAAGAAGGTGAGGTAGAGTGACGTCATGGTCTTCTTCTTCTTGGGACTCGCGGCTCCTCCTCCGACCTCCGCGCCGTCCCTAGTGACCGGCAAGAGGGCTATATCAGCCATCCCGCCTAGTCGATGGGTGGAAAAATTGGAACCGGTTCTCCGATTCAATTTCCTCTCCTCTGCTCTGCTCTGCCTTGCACCGTGGCGAGCCGACGGCAGGGAGCCAAGCCACCGAGGACGGAAGGGGGAGGCGGGGACGGGTTGGGGTTGGGGCTGGGAGGCGGAACCAAGGAAGACGGTGTGGTGCCGATGGGACGGGGGAGGAGGGAGGGTGGCTTATAGACAGGGTTTGGGCTCGGGCTCAGGCTTGGTGGTTGAGGTTTGGTTTGGAAGGGGCGGCACGAACGCCGGCTCCCTAGCAGCCAGTGTGTGTGAGTTGGCATGCACTAATCTTGTTTCTATTTTATAACAAGACAAGAAAAACATGCCTTTTGTTAATTAAAAAAATTGATCCTAAACGGTCACATACCCTGCCACATCACCGTCGCGGAATATGAAGCAAAAAACTCGCCGCTAGCTGACCTAGCTACCAAACACACGCCAACGACATCTCAGATTTCGATGACAAGGCTCATAAGAGAAAAATAAAGGGCTTGCACCAACCGAGTGCTCCGCAAATGACCATCGAGCACGTGTCGATGTCGCCATCTGGACTCGTTCCATCACACATGAACTTGAAAGTTTATATACAAGTCCAGAGATGTTGGCATCCATTCATTTCCTCTTCTTTGATGATGATCGCCTCTAGATCATGCCCAGCGACAGTGTGAAGATCGGGAAGAGGATCTTGGGCGGTGGGATGTCGCGAAAATCATAGAGCACTCCCCTCCCCCCCACCCCCACACATACACCTTATGTTCGAGTGTCGGGGGAGGCAATGCCCCCCTCACCTGTGTGTCACCGTGCTATATTTATGTATTTTTTTTGTTTACATCACTTGATGGACGCGGTTTTTTACCATCTTGTCCCATTCACCCCCCGCCCCACCCTTATAAGGACAGATTGACAAACTCACTAAAGACGTACACAAAGCAGCCAACTGGAAGCTGAGGCAACGAAGGCTAGTGTCGTCAACGAGATGGTAAAAAACCGCGTCTCAATGCAACTCACAAGTAGCACTGCACATGGTAGTAAAGCTCATAAGAACATGAAAACATATTAGACTGAAACAATGGACAAGCAAATGTAATCTACCTAACTCTAGCAACCATGAAAGACTAGTTAACTTAGGACTATTAGGGCTTTTCCCCCACCTTATGTTAGAGCGCTGGAGGGGGGCATTGACCCCCTCCCCTGTGTGTCACCGTGCTATATTTATGTATTATTTGTTTACAATTGATGGACGTGGTTTGTTACCATCTCGTTCCGTTCACACCGAAAATCTCACCGTTCTTTCGCCCATTGAGATGAGTGTTGCATGCAGACCCGGACGAGGTGGGTCAGGAGGCTGCTCTTGAAGCTAGGGTTGCCGACCACGACCAGCAGATCGCCAACCATTGTGTCTAGAAATAACAACATCATGTGAATTGATATGTCTAGAAATAGGTTTTTAGTGTTCAAGACCGAACAAAAGTCCTTCTGGTTCCATACTCTAAGTTCTAGGCAAATGGAAACAAAGCGGTGTGTTAGCCATTCCCATTCTTAAGTACGTTGAAGGCGGAAACTAAGTGCTCAATAAATATCATGTATATAGAGTGCTTGATTCCATCGTGTTTTATTAATTAAGTATCAGTCCCGCTTAATCAAAGTCCCACTTGAATCCTAGATCCAAGTGTTCAATATACGGAACTTGTCTAAGTCATTTAGTCTCGTCGGACCAAGTACCCGATAAAACGGTAGTAAAGTGCATAATTGAGTTAGAGCCCCTAACTCGGGATTGTCTACCTTCTTGTAAAGTCATATAAAATGTTGCAACAAAGCACTAAAAACATTTATGGGAAATGATGCCATAGGGACTACTTGTAGTTTACAACACTGGTTAAAGTCCTTTTTTCGTAGTCATCAAGTAAATTCCATGTTGGATGGAAGTGCTTCGTAATTTCCCCATGCAATTTGTGTGAAGAAAACAACAACTTCATGTCAAGTGCTA